ACACGTGTCCCTCCTGTCAAAAGTGACAGATGACGTTTTTTCTTTTTTTTTTTTTTATTTTTAAATCTTTTGACAGACACACTACACGTCACGCAATACAACGTTGCACTATACTTCGACCACTCGGCGTGCACCTGTATTTATGTGTGAGTGAATGTACGTGTGTTATGTAAGTGTGTTACATCTAATTTTGTTTACTAGTGTTTGATTTAACCGTTCATTCAGGTCGTTTGAAAATGGTGCATTGACTGCAGTGAAGATAATTTTGGGTTTTTGATGTTAATATGTAGGCGTATCTTGTGAAGTGGTCTACTAGAAGATGTATGTTTTAGTGGAACGAGAACCACCGAATCCGCCAATGTTATCTATAGACACTATTTCATATGGTTGAGTTGCAGGGCCTAGTTGTGACTACATTCCATTTTAAAATTTTGTTCTAGACTTATTTTTATGCATATTTCGCAATGTTCACAGATTTTCTTAACATTAAATGTTAAATTTTTTGCTGCATAAAATGGTTTGATTTTATTTTCAGTTTGTTTTACTCTTGTATGGCGGTATAGATAAGGCACATTTTTAATTAATTCCTTACTAAATTCTTCAGTAAGTATAATCTTTTCTTTTTTTCCCTATCCTTTTAAAATTAATCTCGTCTTTTAGTATTAGTGTGTTTTTGTATAATTTTGTAGGGAACCTTATGCATTTTGCCAAAACACTCCACAGTTACACTTAACATTCATACATAACACGCATACACACTCACATAACACACGTACATTCACTCACACATAAATACAGGTGCACGACGAGTGGTCGAAGAATAGTGCAACGTTGTATTGCGTGACGTGTCATTGGTGCATTCAAAATTCGCGACTGCACAACTGACCGGGGTCATTGACCGAGCGGTGCGCGCGGTTATTTACTAATTACTAATCGCTTTTGAACTGTGCCCGCGCTGACCGCTAATAATTTCGCCCTCGTTTCACAAGTTTTTTATTATTGTATTTGTTACTCTTCTACTTGTAACGTGTTGTACTCTCCTTCTTCTTTTTATTTTTATTGTATTGTGGACTTAGTGTGTTTGGTGTAAAATAAATTGGTTTGAAGAATAACGGTCGCCTTATTTGAATCTGCACCGTCACCAGCTCGCCACCAGCGACACCATCAACACCTACCACCACATTGGTGACCCCGAAGAACATAATGAGCAACACGGAGGACGATTTTCAAGAGGCACTCCAATTCTATGTCCTTATTTTTATCTTGATCTCTTTGAATGTCTTCTAGTTTAATAATATTCACAATCTTTAAAGCTTCCTCCTGGTTTTCATGTGGTTCTAATACAGGGTTTCTACTTAAACTATCTGCTTCCAAATTGTCCTTTCCCGGTGAATATATTACTTCAAAATTAAATTGAGAAAAGTAATATGTGAGGTCTCCTCCCAGCTCTTCATCTGTTCTTGCTTTAATATTCAGTTTGTCTAGAGGTTTATGGTCTGAGAATACTTTAATTTTTTTTCCTATAAGCCAATGTTGCCAATATTTAATTGCCTCTTTGATTGCTAGACATTCCAGATAAATGGCTTTTCTTCGTTTCTGACCATCATTTAACTTCCTGGAAAAATATGCACATGGCTTTGCTTCTCCATCAACTTGTGGTTGTTTCAAAATAGCCCCTATACCCAGTATGCTAGCGTCTGTATAAATATGTATAGGTAACTCTGGAGCAAAGATTTCTAAAATAGGTTTTAAGCAAAGTAATTTCTTTACTCTATCAAAAGACTCTTGACATTTTTCTGTCGAGAAAAATTGTTGATCTTTCTTAACAAATTGTGTAGAGGATTTAATAAGATATATTTGGTATATATTTTCCATAGAAATTATTTTTTCCTAAAAACTGTCGAATATTCTTCTTAGTTTTTGGAACGGGAAAAGCTTTTATAGTTGTCGGTGTTCAAAACTGAGTCTACTGATTTTACTAGTGGACTGTATTTAAATAAAAGCTGGTTCCGGCACAAACAATATATTAAGAACTGATAGTTACAAATTAGTTAAAAGAACAATATCACAATCACACGACGTTTTTTTCTTCCTAATGCACACCCCTCTCGCTACTGCATTCCCCGCAGGGGCACGGGGGCTTACCCATGTGTGTGGGTCTAAAACTGTCCGCTACAATAGTTATCAAATTATCCTTCAGTGGGGTAACTGTATTATTTTGAATTACATGCCCTGTGCAAAATTACATTTGGAGAATTTTAATCTAAAACCTTCCTTTGATATTGCTTCCAATAACAATGATAAGTGTTCAATGTGTTCCATGAATGTCTTGTTTGTACCATGAAAAGTTTGATAATTCATGTTTTCTAATAATACTTGTTAGAATCCTTTGAAAAATTGCAGGCGCAGTCTTTAAACCAAAAGGTAGACAAGTCCATTGATAATGGCTGTCTTGAGTAACAAATGCTGTTTTCTTTCTATCTTATACTGTCAGAGGTATAGACCAAAACGCTGAATTTATGTCTAATGTTGAGAAAAATTTACAATTTCTTGTTTTCACCATTAAATCCTCTATAAGTGGAAATGGTTGTGATTGAGGAACCACTATTTTATTCAAATCGCGAAAATCTATGCATAACCTTGATTTTCTTCCTTCTTCTTTCTTATATGCCGATGTTACAGGAGCGGCAAAAGGACTATAAGTATCTTCAATCAATTTTTTTTAATAATACTAAAACTTGATGTTCTATTTCTTTTTTGTCTTGAAAATTGCAACTGTATGGCCTTTTACTACAATATATGTCGACCAATAAATCTATATGTGCCTCATAGCCTTTCACTACACCTATATCATATTTATCTTTTGCAAATAGTGATTTATATTTAATAATTAATTCATCTATTTTTGACTGTTGTTCCATATCTAAGTGATTTATCGAAATATGAAATGAAGAAGTTTCTATGTGATCATTGAAATTAACTTGAAACTTAGTTTTGTTTTTATCCATGAAACACTGGTTGTCTTCGACTCTGTGACCTGTAAAGCCAGGAATATTTTCTATTTTTTGTTTTATTTTCTTATTTAATTTTTGTGTAATCTGTAAGTCTTCTCTTTGGGTCAGCCTTAAAGCTTTTATACAATCCAGTCTTATCAAGAAACCATAATCAAAATTATGATCATCCACAACAAAAACATTTATGTCTTTTTATTTTTTTTTTTATTATGACTATTTTTGTTCGGGTTAATTTTTAAACATAATAATCTTGAATTAATCAGACTTACATTTGATCCTGAATCATAAACCCCTGTAGTGTATTTATCTATTTATTTAATTATTTATTTATTTATTACACTACATTTATTTATAATATTACATCCACGCATTCACACATACACATTCATAACACACAACATTACACACGCAAAATACATCACACATATATTCACATACAAAATAAAATATTATACACGTACAAACAAACACGCACACTCCACATTTTTATATACAATTGCAACGCGCTGCAGAGCGCCGCCGGCGGCGCGGACGAACAATGTCCGAAATGCGGAATCATGCGCCGCGCCGCGCCGGCCGGCCAACAGTCGCCTCGCGCTGCTACACTGTGCTGACACCTCGCTCGTTTGCCCTCTTGCCCGCCATTTTGTTTACGTGTTTTCTTTGTTTACATTGTTTCGTATTGTCTTGTGTTAGTTTTTAATTTGTGTACGTGTACGTTGCATCGTACGTTATATTGTGTATGTGCACAAATAAACTACATTGTGGTTTACCTCTATACCCCCAATGTGTCTAAGCAATCATTTATTGTTAAATTAATTTTTATTAATGGTAGAATTATTACTTTTTTGGATCTATTTCATTTAAACTCATTTCCAATTCTGAATTATTAATATTTCTGATGGTTGGTTCTTTCTTGAGGCGATAATTATCTCTATTTTTGTACCAACATATGCTTTCTGGATGAAAGCGAGTGCCTTTCTTTTCTTTTTCACAAATCCTGCACGGCTGGTCTTCTAAAGTCCTGCCCTTGATTTTACTTTCTGAATCCATTCCCCTTGGTTCCAACCTTCTATTAACCAAATGTTCTAAGCCTCGAATACTACTAAATAAATCCTCAGTGTCTTGTAAATTATCTTTATTGATTTTATCTGCTACAAAATTAGGTAATCCAATTACAATTAAATCAATTAACTTATGTTTATCTATTTCTTTGTTTACCTCTAACAACAGTCTCTCTTTTTTTAGAGCATATTCCAATAATGTCCTTTGTCTGTATTTAAATGTAAAAGCATACCTTATTGGTGTCTAGCCCTTGTTTAGAAATGTTTTCACAAAAGTTTTTTTCCCAAATACACCATCTGAGTTTTCTGTATATTTTATAAGCATGGAATTATACCAATCCTGACCTGGATCGTCCAAAAATAGCCGAAATACTTGAATCTTTTCTATGTCTTTATCTATACCTATGCGAATACATTCATTTTCAAAGATATTGATCCATTGGCTTACACTTGATGTCTTCTTTGTGAATTTTTCTATAATAAACTTTTCTTATAATTTCTTCAAATTAGACTGTTTAGGTTCTTTCTTCAATTCACTAAAATTTTCCAATAATCTTGTAAGAGCTTCTGCTGATGTTTCATTCAAAACTGGCTGTCCTGATTGTAATGAAATTTGTTCTAGCAAGTACCCTCTGAATTGCATATTTCCATCTTCATCTACATAAGTTTTGCGTAATTCTTGTGTTAATGAAATCTATACTTGTCTTTTTTCGTGTCGTTTTTGAAGTGTTTCTTTTGTGTGTGTGTTTTTACTTTTTGAAAAATTTGAGTTTTTGTAACCTCGTCATGTAGTTTCGCCGGTTTTAATTTATCCGGAATTAAGTATATATTTTTATCAATATCCATAATTGATGATACATACATTAACATTAGTTTTTGGATCTTCACTTTGTTTCACCGTGAATTCAAATTTTAATCTATCCATTGTCTTCAACAGTTTGAATTAATGTTGTTTTATAATATGGAGGTTACTTTCAATGATAACTATTATGTTGTTGTACTGAAAGAAGAAACAATTTGATTTATTATAATAATCGAGCAATCAACCTGTTATATACAGTAATATATAAATACAAAACCGACTTCCAAACAAAATACACTAAAAACAAAATATTATCAAAAAAAACAGTACACTAAAAAGTAACGAAATAATTCCTTGAAAATAGTAAACCTCCCTTATTGTAGCTGTTATGTCTATATTGTACAATTATTATTACTTTGAAGTCGGTGTCAGCCGAGGTATGCAGTGATATTTCTACGTAAGGGTTTCCACATTTTTACCATAACAATTGACAATTGAAAGTATAGTAACAATTAAGTAATGAATCTACATTGACTGACACCGACTTCAAAGTAATAATAATTGTATGATATATATATTTTATTATTACTAATGTTTAGGAATTCCGCCGCCGCCGGACGCCGGACACTGGCATTAAAAATTTACTAAACTTTAACTTTTCTCGGCTTACACTTTCTAAACCGTTAGATATATATAAAAATGACGTATAAAAGAATTGTAGATCTCAAAAAGTTCTACGGAAAAGTCCGCGATAGCATATATCTATCTTTAACGGTTTTCTTACAATAACCACTTTTTTGTTTACAAAATGAATTAAAAAACGCACTCTATTTGCGGCGTTTTTTTATTGGTTTCGATGGTAATCCTTATCCAAATAAACGTTACTTGTTACTCGGTTACCAAATAACCGAGTTATTCGGCCGAGTATGAGTATCAAAAAAACCCGCCGAGTATGCAGAATACAGAGTATCAAACGAGTACTCGGCCCATCTCTAGTTTTAATACTTTTTGTAGGAATTGGCCACATGGGATATGAAGTTGTCCAACAAGCTACTGGGTGTGAAAGGACGCCAGCTGCCTCCGGAGAACATTGTGCAAGGCAACAACACGAAGTATCCCGCAGGGAATACCACTGATGGCTGGACTAGAGACATGAGGTAATTTAGAATAGAATGGGATAAGTCCAAACAACAACTAACTTAGAGCTAGTAAAAAAACGACTTATTTATTTACTTTTTGTCTTATTCCTCATGTAAATTAGAGAGCTTAGATAACAGATACTTTATAAATTATATGTTATTATAGTCACGCAAAAATGCTTGAGTTAGAACCTGCACAAAGAATTGTCTTAAAGGTTTTACTCAGCAAAAAGAAAAGATTCTCCACACAAACATTATACTCAGATGCTTGGGTCCTTACTGCGAGACAAACCTACATATTGAAAACAGTCCTAATACAACACAAAGCAATCATGAATACCACTCTGCATAGTTTTAGACAATTAATCTAATTGTACTTAGCAATATTAATTTTAACACTCCATCGAGACTCGCCAGGAATGCGCGCCAATATATCCATACTTCTAGTGACATTGACAGCTGTCAGCTAGGGACGTGACATTTATGCCGATAATATAGAATTGCGCCAATTCTAAAGCACAGTACTAATTTTGTTCTTAACAATAGTAACTTTCAAAGGAAGAAAAGTTTAAAATCCCACTGCCAAAAGTCAGCTCTAAATTTGCACAAAGATTCACACATTTCTCAGGGCCGTATATACCCCTGCTCCTATTATATACATATATATAATAGGAGCAGGGGTATCTTGAGCCGAAACAGCCAAAGAAAACACAGCAACAAGGCGGCAAAAAGTCGTTTATTGGTTATTATACCAATGAGAATGGTCTGCGCGCGGACCCCGGGTTGGGAACCACACGCAGATACAAAAAGTGTTCAAATATCGGGTAACCGTCACAGAACAGCAAGCGGTTACATGCTAAATTAGGCCGTCACTATCCGCAAGCAACCTAATTCAGCTACACTACTTTGCAAGTTCTGAGTAAAATTAGTCACAAGACAGCAAGCTAATATATTCAGAATCGCGTTGTAGGAACTAAAGTGGAGAAGACAGTAATTGTTTTCCGTTTACTTCTCTCATTTGCGTAATGTACATGAAATGACTTAACATAAGGCGCATGCAATACCACATCGCGTTTTAAAATACAGGTGGCGCCA